TAAATATGATGGGTTTTTTCGCCCCAATTAACACAATCCAATTAGATTGTAAAGGGGGAAGGGGAGGTGGGGGGGAGAGCTTCAACAAAGCCTGTCAGAGCTAACCTGGGATGAGAAGGATACAATATCAGAAAGATCCCACTCGAGAATAAAAATAAGGTCTCCATCATGCAATGGTGAAGCACCTGATCTCTTCTCCACAGATATCGGTGAAAACTGTCATAGCCTAAAGAATGTTGCTATAGCAACAGGTATGGGCATAATTATCTGACTACTTGTTTGTTTGTTTGAACAAAGAGAAGCATATCGAGAAAATCACAATCATCTGTTGCGAGGAAAAAGTAAGACCGCAAGACTGAGAAACAACAGAGGGAGAGAATTAAGTTAAGACAGATCAAAAGCACCCTCCAACCACCCCCAGTCTTACTTCAACAAACCAACATCAAAAAAATGTTCCTTCATGAAGGAGTAAAACCTACCATTTTGACACAAAACGACCAATTCAATTACCAACCTTGAAATTTTCGTAAGACAGACATACAGACAGAAACAAGAGGGGGGACAGGTCTGCGTTCCAGTGACAACCTCCGAACACCCATGTTTAAACCTTTTCAACTTTGTCAAACAAAGTTCCTCACTGAAACAAGTACTGAAAATGTCCGCCCCTCCCCTGCCCCCCACCCCCAACGCCTTTCCCAAATTGAGATATTTTCACTGTCCCAAAAAATAAGACATTTTCAATATCCCCCCAAAAAGAGATATATTTCTTAGCGATGACACCGGAATGTATGAAACATTATGACAGACCAATGTTGTACAGTCTAGCACATACATAGCAGTGATATGCAGAGACATTTCCATGTAGGGATTTCAATGAGGACAAAATTTCAGACTCTATCAAGGGAGATACATATATACAAATTGAACAAATGGGTCAAAATTTTACATGAATTTTGTCTCCTACAGCAGAACACTTTTTTAAAATAGAATTACCGTAGATTTGTGATTTTGATATTGATCTGTGAGGCTTCGTGGTGTAAGCAGGCACTCGTCAAAATATAAAATCAAAGAAACCAGCTTTTTTCTGCCAGTTTGAAGATTTTTTTCGAATTTTTGTTTTTTTGCTCAACATCTTTTATGTCCATTTAAAAACACATTTCTGTATGGATTTTACGGAAAAACATTCGTTAAATACACAAAAAGTATAAATTTTCAATTTTCAAGGACTCTGAGCCAATGGAAGTCATCAAACCTTGACAGCCATTTTTTCATTAATTTTGCCTCTGAAACCAGGATTATACTAAAAACTACATACCTATGCACAAAAACTGACGAGTGCCTGATTCCATCATGTGGTGACATATTTATTGTTACCTCTGCAAGGATCAGCCATTTCTCCTCCGCCGAGAAGCCTTTTCGCTTCCTCTGCTCCACAATTGTTTCTCTCTCTCTCCCACTCCCTCCCTCCCTCTCTCTCTCTCTCTCTCTCTTTCCCTCTCTCTTTCTCTCTCTCTCTCTCTTTCTCTCTCTCTCTCTCTTTCTCTCTCTCTCTTTCTCTCTTTCTCTCTCCCTCTCTCTGGGTGTTTTGAATACATATATCATGTAAGAAAAAATTCAGGACCTAAAAACATGTGCATTTTTTGCAAAGCACATAACACTATAAGCATGCCAGACTTATCAGTTTTGTGGCACCATGAATCATTTACCCTTCTTGAAGAAATAAACTAATTTCTTCTTTCCTCATTTTTCATTTCGGAACATTTTCAGTTTACAACTCTCAATTTTGTTCAAGATCAGGTTTAAAGAGAAAATGACCTTGCAAGCTTCTTTCCCTGCGAAGTGAGTGAGGTGGAGAGATCTCTTGGCTTTTCTTGCAGCCATTCTGGAGAAGAACTTGACAAAGGCATAGCAGGACTGAGTGGTCAGTGGTTGCTGGCCCTGACAGTCACTGCATACAGGAGGGGGTTCGCTATCTGGAGAAATAAAAAGTGACATCATCAACAAGGAGAGAAAATATAATATGTTACAAATATTTGTATAACTTGTAGTAGTAAGTCAGTGTCTTTTCCACCCCCACTGACACAATATAGACCATTTAGTGGGCTGGCTGCTACGATCCTCTCTTCCCGACCAAAATAGCTAAAAGGACTACAACTTCTTTGCAAACAGACTGAAATACTTGATCATACAAAATCCTTTCCACTCAGAAAGCAAACTCACATTTTACATGTGCAACAGCAAAGAGCCTTAGAACCCCTTCACACAGACTCCAGTGTTACAATTTATGACATAAAATCTAAATACATTTCAGAGTACAAAAACTTTTTTTTTTTAATCATTAAAAAAAATTCTCCAGATCATTTCCACAAAATCCCCGCTCTCACAGTTGTTTCCATTTTAACGATGAGAGAAGGACATGTAAAATTTAAATCAAATGTCTTCAAAAACATTTTGGTTCTTTTATAGTTTTCCAAGATTTCAAAAATACATTAAGACAGAGGTTTCAAAGTTTTCACAGATGATAGAGATAAACTTCCTTGTTTTTTTCATTAGTTTGTATTACATTAGTTTGAGAGATATTCCAGCTCATTCATTTTGCTTCAAAGTTAAACAAATGAACATTGAATTACATAACATTTCAAAGAATCGCAACTTACAGTCTTTCTCTTCAGTCTGGCCACAGTCACTTGACCTTGATGACACTACACTGCCATTCTCCAGGCAAGAAGTTGGAGCCACATTGTTGCTTTGTGACAGAAACACCTGCACTTCGTAGACTAGTCCAAACCTTGAGCATGCTTTGTACAAACATTCCTGTTTCAAAAAACAAATGAGAGGCTACAGGACAATGTAAAGAGTTCTTGTCACGCTCTGCTGTTTCGAAACATTTGTGTTTTTCTGACACCACTGCTGAGTCTGAATAAATAAAACATTTTTTTGGACCCGAGTCCGAATAGATAAAAATTACGAAGTGACTATTTCTCCTAACGCTCGGGAAAATTTAAAACTTGACCTCTATTTCTCAAAAAAACAGTTTCCCTTCTCGAGATTTTTTGGGTATTTGCGAGAGTTCGGCGTCATTTTCATTCTCTGCCATTCTGCAAGGACTGGGAAAAAGCATTTTTGCATCGAATTCAATTTTTAGAGCTAGAGATTTTTAGATGTCTGAATATTCAGATAAACTTCAAGGTTGATGCAACATTCCCGGACTATACTTCATTTGAAAATTAAAAGCCTTCAAAAAAAAGGTACTGCAAGGAAACAAGACTGCTCGACTTCAGCAGTAACCCACTTTGCATTTAGTCACTCCAAAACAAAAACTAAAAAAAAAAAATCCCCCATGCCCAAACGCTCACCCCTCACCCCCCCCCCCCCCCCCCTCCCATCCACACCTTATACTTATACACATAACATACACACACATGCACGCACACACTCACACACGCTCGCGCAGGCCACTCAATTCGCAAATATTTTTTTAAAATCTTGATAACGGAAACCGTTCGGAGAAATAGAGTAGCGGCGGGGTTGTGCGATAGGGGGGTCTGCGCGACAACCTTGTGGTATGAACCAATTTAAACATGCCAGAGCGTTCCCGCGTTTATCAACATCCGGCAACACCCTTTCCTGTAGCACAAAATTATTGACAGGTCGCTGTGGCTGCTAATTGCACGTACACAGAGGCAAATTATTTTCAGGCTTGCTGATTACGTATTCAAACAGTGCATCGGCCTGCAGTTGTAAGGCTGTCAATGCATTTTATGAAGATGTGTATACTTGCACTACAGACAAAGCAGTGTATTGTGCGTGTAGCATCAGTACTAAGCAAAGCATGGAGCCGCTCAGCCTCTCTGAGGGGATGGATGGGGGTTGGCGCGCAGTGCCACCATGGCGCCTGGTAAGGCGGGGTTTCGCGGGGGGATTCACCAAGTCAGGGCTGTTTCCCTACAACCCTGACGTTGTCCTCACAAGTGACAAGCTGAACCCAGCTGCACCTTGACAGGGTCCCCTTCCCCTACCCTCCACTTGTCATCCACCTCGTCTGCCTCTGGCCCATCCGCCTCTTCTGCTTCTGAACCATCCACGACGTCACAAACTCGCCGTCACCAACTCAAGGAAATATTCTCCATGAACTTTAAGCTTGGGGAAGAGAAGGTGGACCTGTACCTCAAGAGGTATGACAATGGATATGACCTCAAGATCGACCCCAACTACAACATATGGTCCAGCCTGATGAACAATATTGAACACCTGGCTCCTCCGCTACCCCAGCCATCAGAAAGAGCCCTGGTACCTCAGACCCCCTCCGGGGAGATGACTATCGACAAGGTGCTCACATTTCCGTCCTGTTCAAGGAACAAGGCCGTTAGAAGGCCCTAGCCAACAGTGCCCCCGTCCATCAGTGGAAAAATGACTAGAAAGGGATGATAGTCACGCAGAAGAGGAAGGCGGAAGAAGAACAACAACAGAAGGAAGAGAGAAAGAAGCAAAGGGAGCAGAGAAAGATGGAACGGCTAGCACAAGCTGAAGACAAGAAGAAAAGCCAAAAAGAGAAGAAAAAACAAAGGGAGCAGGCAAAGAAGGAGAAAAGGGAGGAGAAGAAAAGGAGAATTCAGTAGAAGAAGATGAATACTTTGGTAGTGGCCTCACAGAAGAAGAAAGAGGACGAAGATTCCTTTGACTCAGGAGAAGAGCCGGTGTATGATGACAGCTCCGACGGTTGTGAAGAAATTGCGGTCGACTGTGCTGGGTGTGGAGCCACCACCGGAGGACAAGTAGTGCACACCCAGTGCATGCTTTGTGACAAGTGGTGGCATGCCAACTGTGTCAAACAGATGGACCTGAAGGACAAGACTCAGGAAGACCTAGATTCCATGGACATTGAGCTCTTTTGCTGTGCTGACAAATCTCTCCTTCACAATTTGTTTCATACAAATAGTGTAAACAATATCTTTGTTTATCCATGTGCAATTAGATCCACATGTCTCTACTTTGCTGTTCTTACATAATTTAATTCATGGTTTTCAGAGTTCATCTAGACTCACTAATAGATTACTGTTTCCATTGTAAGTGCTGGCTTCAGTTATTTTTTTGTTTTCTTTCTTTTTTGGCTATACTGAAAAAACTGAGTGTCTTTTGTAACTCTGAACTCTTGTGCAATTTGTAAGAATATTTCCTGCTTTATGGTTAGAAAATCATACGTTAGCAGATTCATAATAAGAAGTTATTAGGGCATGTTGCAAGACCCGCCCTATCCTAGCGCACAGTCCCTCCATAAAATGCGCCACCCTCAAGCAGGAACGCGCATTCCCGCTCATTGTCGAAAACACACGCCCTCACTTTGCCACACAAATACCACTACTGAGGGAGACAGGCAAACAAAGCAGCGTAGCGCGCTGGGCCGACGATAGCAGACGAAATTTGCTTCTCATCAGTTGTGCGGTTACCTCCCCTTTCAGCGGGGACTCGCAAGGTCACTTTTTATGCTTAGCATAGCGCAGACTACCTCCTCTACTCTAGAGTTCAAGTTTATTTTCCCGAGCATTTGGAGAAATAGAGCCGGCCTAAAAAAATTATAGATTTTATTTGGACTGGAGTCCTTGAGCAGGCCATTAATTTAAAATAAGACAAAATCAAGCCCATTCAAGGCTAACCAAGATCTATATTCTAGATCTATCTAGACTCTAGATCTAAATCTAGTACAAATTTAAAAGAAAGGGAAGGAGTTCCGCAGAGGGCCAGCCAACCAAAACACATAAAAAAGAGGGGACATTTTGAGCAGGGTATGCCCTACAGTAACCCTTATAATATTAATAATAAATAGAGAAGAATTTGCAGCGCTTTTTTCGTCTATTACCC